TACACATTACAGATGATTTGGCATCAGAGCTAGGGAGCATCAGTGCCAGCACAGGGTACGCGCTCGCAAGATGACTCCATGCGGCAGTTTTCACATCACCTCAGGCTACAAAGTGCTTACAGGCTGTGTCAGGACTGTGGCTGGCACTGCTCTCAACAGGTATCCACCATCAGTCCCGGCCCACCCCAGGCATCCAAGCAAGCTCAGCTCCCCACAGGCAGCATCACCCACACCTCACTGCCCCAGCCCAGCATGCTGTCTGTGCCGGGTCAGATGGATGGCTCTGCTCAGGTCATGGTGACAGGGTAAACTCATTGGTTCGGAAGATATGATTTCACTGCCTCCCTCTGCTCTAGATGATGAGAACACTTAAAAGTCCTCCTGGTCTGGTTTAGAGAGGATGGTGTTTCTGCTTATTTATCACAAGTACCAAAAAAAGCAGGGAAGCCTTCCTCCTCCCCGACACGGGAGAAGAGCACGTGTTATAGGAAAGCTTAACAAAGAAATCCTCTCCCCGGAGCCAAGTCCAGTGCTAAGGCCAAGACTTTGGTCTCACTTCAAATCACTGAAAAGTGCTTGCCAAGATCTGCTTGGCTGCCCAGGCTCCTACTGTCACTGCTCCTGCCACCTGAGCACCCACCAGGACAGAGCCACACACCCCCTGCAAATGAGCAAGCACAACACACACACAAACACACGCTGAAAGCCATCCCGGCCTCCTCGGCACATCACAAAGCAGCAGTAAAGGTTTCAAAGCCCATTCAAGTCCTTTGCATCTCTCCTTCACAGATGATTCGAAAGCAGGGCTAGGAAGCTCTTTTGCACATTCAACTGTAAAACATGTGAGGAAGAGGAGCAAGACAACTCTCCTGATTGTTGCTACTGCCTACAGCAAGTTTTGGTACAGATATCCTCTCTTATAGGCACTCAGTGGGTAAAACGTAGCCACAACAAACTTGCCATCAAAAATCTTTCCAGTCAGCATTTTTTGGGCAGCTTTGGAATCACCAGCATTTGCATATTCAACAAAGACCTGAAAGAGAGAGGAGAAATAGGACTTACAGTGCACCATGACACACGCCCCCTCCCACCCCTGCAATCAGGAAAACCATTCCTGAATAAACTTTTCCTCTCCATCCTTGGTTGAGCCGAGAGCATTGGAGCTAAAAAGGAAGCAGCAGTGTCTCTGAACTGGGATTTCATCTCCTGCTCCTCATTTGGTAAGGTGGGAGAAAGCATGATGATGCTCTACATCTTCAACATTTCCTCTGCCACCCACTGGCTTTTCCCCTTCCATCCCCTATCCCAGCTCTCCTGCT